CCCCCCCCTAGAAACAAAATCTGCAACCCCGTCGTTGTTTTTTGACCACCCCCCAAAAAAAACAAGATGGAACCCACAAACCCGAATGCAAACTCGTTCGAAAAACTAATATGTCCAAATGACACTCTTGTAGGACACTCTTCTGGGACACTCTTGTAGGACACTCTTGTGGGACACTCTTATAGGACACTCTTGTGAGACACTCTTGTGGGACACTCTTGTAGGACACTCTTGTGGGACACTCTTGTAGGACACTCTTGTGGGACACTCTTGTGAGACACTCTTGTAGAACACTCTTGTGGGTCACTTGCAGGACACTCTTGTGGGACACTCTTACACGACACTCTTGTAGGACACTCTTGCGGGACACTCTTGTAGGGCACTCTTGTCGGAAACTCTTGTGGGACACTCTTGTGGGACACTCTTGTAGGACACTCTTGTCAGAAACTCTTGTGGGACACTCTTATAGGACACTCTTGTGGGACACTCTTGTGGGACACTCTTGTCGGACACTCTTGTAGGACACTCTTGTAGGACACTCTTGTGGGACACTCTGTGGGACACTCTTGTGGCACACTCTTGTGGGACACTCGACTCTTGTAGGACACTCTTGTGGGACACTCTTGTAGGACACTCTTGTAGGACACTCTTGTGGGACACTCTGTGGGACACTCTTGTGGGACACTCTTGTAGGACACTTGTGGGATACTCCTGTAGGACACTTTTAAGGGACACTCTTGTGAGACACTCTGGTGGGACACTGTTGTGGGACAGTCTTGTAGGACACTCTTGTAGGACACTCTTGTGGGTCACTCTTGTAGGACACTCTTGTAGGACACTGTTGGTCACTCTTGTAGGAAACTCTTGTGGGACACTCTTGTAGGACTCTCTTGTGGGACACTCTGTGGGACACTCTTGTGGGACACTCTTGCGGGACACTCTTGTAGGACACTCTTGTGGGACACTCTTGTGGGACACTCTTGTGGGATACTCCTGTAGGACACTCTTAAGGGACACTCTTGTGAGACACTCTAGTGGGACACTGTTGTGGGACAGTCTTGTAGGACACTCTTGTGGGACACTCTTGTAGGACACTCTTGTGGGACACTCTTCTGGGACACTCTTGTAGGACACTCTTGTGGGTCACTCTTGTGGGACACTCTTGTGGGTCACTCTTGTAGGAAACTCTTGTAGGAAACTCTTGTGGGACACTCTTGTGGGACACTCTTGTGGGACACTCTTGTGGGACACTCTTGTAGGACACTCTTGTGGGATACTCCTGTGGGACACTCAGACTCTCTTCCAGCTCCCCAGATACTCCGCGTACTAAAGTTGTACTACAAGGTCGCCAGTTCTCAGCTTCCAGCTCCCCAGATACTCCGCGTACTACAGTTGTACTACAAGGTCGCCAGTTCTCAGCTTCCAGCTCCACAGATTGCTCCGCATACTAAAGTTGTACTACAAAGTCGCCAGTTCTCAGCTTCCAGCTCCACAGATTGCTCCGCGTACTGAAGTTGTACTACAAAGTCGCCAGTTCTCAGCTTCCAGCTCCACAGATTGCTCCGCGTACTAAAGTTGTACTACCGAGTCACCAGTTCTCATCCCCAGATACCCCGCGTACTAAAGTTGCACTACAAAGTCGCCAGTGCTCGCCTGCATTTCGCCCTCGACACGCACGATCTCCGTAGAGGGTTGCGCGGGCACCGGACAAATCGCACTCTCGCCTGCGTTTCGCGCACTCGACACGCACGATCTCCGCAGAGGGTTGCCCGCGCATGGGACAAATCGCACTCTCGCCTGCATTTCGCGCACTCGACACGCACGATCTCCGCAGAGGGTTGCGCGTGCATGGGACAAATCGCACTCTCGCCCGCATTTCATTCACTCGACACGCACGATCTCCGCAGAGGGTTGCGCGTCAAGTCTCCAAAACGAGCGTTTCGTACGAGACTTCCTCAAAAACTCACACATCAAAGTCTGCAAAACGAGCGTTTCGTACGAGACTTCCTCCAAAAGTCAAGCGGAAACACCCATCGGAGCACACACATCACGCAGCCCTGCCAAGCAGTTTCGCGATTCCAGCCCCTCCAAACAACGTCCGCTCAGACGCCAATCTCAATGTGACAGCGACATTCACCTCTACCACAACTCACAACCTCACGATTCCCTGCGCCTGCCACGAATCTTTCCCCATCCGCACGTCTAACGCGCACAAAGTACTGCGCCTGCCACAAAATGTCACCTCCCTCACACCTTGCAACCTCACGATTCCCTGCGCCTGCTACGAGAATCGCACTTCCACGCTTCAAAACCCGCACGAAGTCCTGCGCCTGCCACGAAAAGTGACAATATCATCTCACGTGAGCTTCAACAAAATTTGCACCACACCACACGTTTGGAATGATTTCGACCCGTTCTGAGCACACTGCCATCCACCAGAATCGCCATTTCAGCTGAGACTTGTCACGAAAACACAGCTTCGATGCCACACCCCGCAACGCAAATCCCAATGGCACGGCCACATCCAACACCCCAAAAACACGACTCTCCCAACGCTAATCCCAATGGAACTGCGCAGCAATCTGCAGACCTCACAAAACGCTGCGCCTGTGCAGCGAAATGCATCACGTTTCTTGCGCGACGTGTCGGTGTCATGCAAATCACAATGGAATAGCGGCGCAAACTGACACGTGACACATCCATGCAAAGTCACTTGCAAAAGCTTCCCCCAATGGCAGCAAATTTGAGACGCGACGACGACGACACGACGACGAGAGACGACGAGAGACGACGACAGACGACGACAGACGACGAGAGACGACGACACGACGCAAGCCATGCAAACACAGCTCCAACCCCCAGACCCCCAACTATAAACGGGAACCCTTCGCTACGCATTCGGGAAAAACAACACAACAAAAAACAAGAAGCAGACCAACCAAGACTTGAGTACCACAACGACAAGAAGTCCAGCTACTAACATCTCTCCAAACCTTCGACCCTATCCCTAACGGAATCCCATTGAAATCCCTGACTTGCAACATGTGACAACTATGTTGGGCGGCTGTTTTTGTCTCTACCAACAACAACAACAACAAGAACAAGAAGGTACAAACAAAAACTGCAACCCCGTTACACCACATCTTCGTTCTTTTTCTCTACAAGGGGGTAGAAACAAATTCTGGGACCCCGTCGTTGTTTTTTGACCCCCCCCCCAAAACAACCAGACAACAAGCACTTTACTACTACTACTACTACTACTACTACTAGTGGTAGACACCCCACCCCTCCCACGTTGGCACCCCTGCCCTCTTCTCCTGGCATGGTGGGCTGGTGGGCGGTGGTGGTGGTGGTGGGAGGTGGTGGTGGTGGTTGGTGGGGTGGTGGACTGTGGTGGTCAGTCCAGACCCTGGTTGGTGAGGTGGTGGTGGTGGTAAAGACGATGCACTCGACCATAGCTCAAACCAGATTCTATAGATGCAATTGTTTATTTAGATTCTGCGCAACCAAAATGTATAATATATATTTAGATAGATAAATGACGATTGCCAGTGATATCGTGTCGTGTCGTTGCCGTCGTAAACGTTCTCGTGTCACGTCGTCGTCATCGTTTTCATTCCCACGGGCGGCCATTATAAAATCAAGGATCCACACTCCGATAGTTTTTTAATGTCAACTTTGCAGATTCCAATCTTGCACTCGGTAACCCTCCCTGATTTTATAGTGGCTCAATGTTTGCACGTGTTGTGTTAGAAGCAGCCAAATGCAGTGGGATAACAGATAGTTCGGCTTGCAAGTTTTTAGAGATACATTTTCTTGTTTTCTAGAGTTTACAGGGTGACAATTTCCAGTTTATTTGGCGTTGTATCTAATTACAAAATCCGGGGTGCGAGCTTCACCCGTAATTCACACGGATTTTTTGACTATGTTTTACCTTTGGGACCAGTGTTTGGAGAGAGGGCCAACTCATGAACTGCCCCAAGGAATAAGGAACGGCGCAACACTTAGGGCATTACAACATGTCAACACTCACATTCCTCACATTCAAATTCGCTACCGTACAACCTTACTGGGATGCGAAGTGTTCAAACTGAAGCGGTGCAATTTTGCAAGGCTTAGCTTAGAGCCGCGTGCCAAAGCGGAGATGCGACCACAGTCTCTTATGCAACAGGCGCGGGCACCTACTACCCTGTGTGTCCCAGATTAATTTTTGTCGATTCGATGTTGTTACAATTGTGGCTTGGACGTTTGTTTCTTCATGTTTCTTCAAAAGGCAGTCCACTATGACAAGTTGTATCAAAATCAAGTTATATAGGACATATACACCCAGATAGTCCACTGCCTGTGTTCGAGGCAGGTGGCCTTGTCGGTGGCCTTGGATCCCGCTTTGGCGTCTTTGGCAAAGGGCAAGGGGAGACCATAAATGTGTGAGGCGAGATGAGAAAATGGAAACGAATTTGACGCGCGCTTGCAAACTCAATGCGCAACGAAGAGTTGCAGGGACCTGCGGCGCAGCCCATGGTACATGAACCCACTCCTTCAGATAGTTGACATGAGCTGCCGGCTCTTGCAGTTGGCCTTATGTATTTTTCACGACTAAGGCCCTTCTGCCACACCAAAATTGCTGAAGTGCCTTGCGCTTACACGGACTGCGTTCCGTGTACCACCTCCAGTCGTGCCAGATTAATGGCAAGGTTTGGCGTCTGCAGTGGCATGGTGTAAGCAAGGTGAGGCCAATATGGTAACATTGTTACAACACCTACAATGGCTCAGCTCAGATGCAGTCAAAATCAAACGTTGCATCAGGGCGCTGTGGTCCCTTGCGAGCGGTGCAACTACCATGGCATGAAGCCAAGAGAACCTGTGACTGACAGGCAACGCCGATCTTGAATCCTTACACATGTTTTGCTTACATACAATTATACAATAATTACAATATATACATAATATTACATACATCATATCATACAATGGCTATCCTTATCAGTCCTTGTCTATCCCTTGCATGGGCATTTGCAGACACATGAGGGGCAGCCGCCACAGAGCTCCATCAGCACTCCGAAGGAGCACGAGGGCATTGCCTGTGCCCAAGCGAGGGGGGACGGTTGTCATTTTGTCAACCAGGATGGTCGTCACTTGCTGCATCCTACTACGGTCCTACTACGTCACCACCTTTTTATTTTCCTTGCAATCATTATGGGCTTATTTTCACCAGGCTACTTTGTGCGCAGCTTCTTTGCTGCTTTGTTGGGGGTTTGCTGTTCCTGTTTAAAGCATTATTGTGCATTATGGCTTTACTTCACTACATCCACATCACACACGCACATACCACTCATCATGTCTTCACACATCACATCATGATATCATTCATCAGTGTTTCAGAGACAGATTTCTTTACAAGTTATATATGATTCATGCGTATCCACTCAACCGCATCCACTCATTTGCACTCAGTTCCTTTTTCGTCGGGACACGTGGGGTTGTCCATCTCTTTGGTGTAGCAGTCTTTTTGCAAAGTGTTCACATGTGTTCACCATTCAGGTTGAGCGGTGTGCGAGGTAAAGCGCATTTGCTCAATGCGCTTACAAGGCCGTCCTTTTAGCCGCCCAGCAACCTCAGCAACTCCAACCACCCAGCTATGGTTAAACTTGACAGGTATCGTTATCAGTCCGTGATGCTGAGAGGAACAAGGACTTGATCACTTTGCAACAGCTGATTGTAACACCTCGCTCACACATGCAGTTTCTGCTGAAGGATGAGAACCCACGCCCACACAGGTAGGACAGGGATATTTGTTGGACAACTCGAGCGATTTGAGCAATTTTGGTGCTGAGTGCATTTTGTGTGTGAACACCCTGGCAGGGAGAATCCGCCTTTGTCAATCTCGACCTGTGCTGGCAGTGAGTGGCTCAGTTGTCCTACGTCACAATGGTCCGTCCGGGACAGTTCAAACAAGTCTACCCAATCCATGTCATTGATTGGCACATCAACATTTGTCTCCCTGGATGCAGTATCACATACAAGTTGTAATGTTCGATCTTAATTAAAGGGGATCCCCCTCCCAGCAAACAATCGGAGGTGAGTGAATAGAATCAACAACACCAAAAGGATTAGTAGCAGTTTTGGTATCATATTCTCCTTCATATTCATATTCATCATCATCATCATGATGTTCTTCCGGTTGATCTCTCGCTCCTTGATCACGTTCCCATTCGTACCAATCTTGGCGAGCTTCTTTGATGCGGGTATTGTTCCAATGGTCGTCATTGAATGTTGTTCCATAGGTGTTCCAACTGCGATGATTCCATTCAATCCTTCGCCAGGAAGTACCTTGTCCTTTGGAACTCTTCCCACTTCCACTTCCTTTTCGCTGATATTTTTGGGCTTGGTTGCGGTGGCTTGATGAAGCTGCTTCGGATGGTGGACGTTCAAGCTCAGGTGCGATGCTAGGGCGGTTTGTCTGCCATTTCCCTGTCACGACATGTTTCCCATATTCTTGGTACTTGTCCATCAGCCTTTCTACTTGATCTTTCTCCAACATGCTATTCCAGCGATCAAATGCTCTTCGGTCCGTGTGCTGGGTCATTGTCTCCAAGGTCTTCTGTGCCAAAGATGGTAAAGTGACTTTTGCTTGATCCATCACCAATTGGCATCACTCTATCCCACTTGTTGAGAGGCCTTGAATATAAGACATCCAAAGGATCGATATGGATCGATGCATTTGTGCATGTCATTGTTGATCAAGTCATCTCTAAAGTATGAGTAGGACGTGACGTTGTAGATCGCGTTCATGCACTTCTTGATCATCCTTGACATTGCATCCTGTTTGGACTTCTTGCTGGATTCCACCATAGATTGGACAGTTCCCGGTGCCGGGCGATCAGTCTCACCAAACTCTTCTTTGAATGTTGCCGGTGTGTATCCAAATGCGATTGCCTGTAGTGCAAACTGTCCAATCATCTGTTCTCCTCGCAACATGTGCCATGCTTCATCCGGAGTAATTTGTTTTGCTTCTGCGAAAACTCGCATCTGCTCATCCGTTGGATCTTTGGGCATGTCGTCATCATCGAATCCGTTGAAAACTCCATTGGTGAAGTCTGACATGACGTCCAGTCTCTTTCTGATGAAGAGTTCCTTGAACCTGGCGATGCCGGTCTGGTGGTACGAAGTGTACATAAGTTTTATCACCTGGCCCATGCAGCGTATGAAATACCTGTCCATGAGTCCTGATGACCCTTTTCCCGTGTCTTGGCATCCAGCTTCATCTTGCGAGTAGAAAGGTAATGGTTCTGGATGTCTACACCATTTTGGAAGTTCATGATTGGCAAGATGTTCTTGTGGATCGAAGGCTCTAGGTCCTGCGTTCTCATAATCTTCATCATGCACTCTTCCACTTTTGGATTTGGCTTCATGATCTTCTGTCTCAACTTCTTCAATCACCCTTTCTGAAGATGTTGGGAACTCAACTGTGCTTCGAAGAATAGCGTCTTGTTCATCCATGACTTCCTCAATCTCGGGAGCTTGGGAATCTCGATCGTAATCGACTTCATTTGCATCAAAGGATGACGTGAAGATGTTTTGACCTCCTTCTCCTTTTGATCCTAAGCTCTTCTTCTTGAGGTTGTCAATGTGTTCTTGGCTGATTTCCTCGTCTTCCTCTTCAACCTCGATCTGAGACTGTAGTGCAGTCTTGACCACGTCCATCCTCGCCTTATCCATGATTTCTTGCTCCTGCTTGTCAGGATCGTCCGGCTGTTCCATCTCAACATCATCTCCCTTTTCCACCTCGTCATCGTCAATCTCGATCACAGTGTTTGTGGAATTTGTGGAGATGGTGTTCTTGACTCCGCAGCTATAGAACCGTCCATGACAATGTAAACATAAGGTGAAGATGTTCGGTGTCACATTCATACATACGGGACATAGGATGTTGCCGTCGACGTTGCTGTATCCTTCACAAGTCCTTGCGATGATCGTGTTCCATGGTTCTTGTTTCGTCCTCTTTGTATCACCATCATTCACGAGATCATCCAGCTTGCGAATGTTATCATCTCTTCTTGTACATTCAGCGACAACTTCTCTTGCCCTTTCGATGATTTGGTCTTTTGTTGCGATCTTGTTTGAATGCTTTGCTGCTGTGACGAGGTCGTTAGTAACCCCTTTCGCCAACAATCTTTTCCATCCTCCTTCGATTTCTTGGTACCAAGCTCCTCTGACATTTTCCCACGGCACTCCCTTTCGGCAATGCGTGCTCCGAGGTTCTGCAGATAGGCAATTGGTACATATAAGGCTACCGGGATATCGTCCGTTGGGATCTTTGACTTCAATAATGTAGTTGCTCTTCTGTCCCAAGGTGCAAAATGATTGAAGAATGAACTTCCCCTTATACCTTTGTCTCCACCTGGTATGATTCCATGCTTCATTATCGATAGTATCTTCCCAAGGGTCGTCACATGGAAACTTCCTCCAAGCTGCATGGCAATGGTGTCCAAAATGTCGTGCGACGTGAGGCGTGGATCGAGGACGGCATCATTCTCATTCTTGTCCGTATGTCTCGACTCGAGGTTGTGTGATGACACTGCCCTCATTGCTACTGGAAACATCCATCTGTCGTTCTCTCTGTAGTATCTCACGTCATTGGGCACGAGGTAGTTGTCCTCCCAGTACTCCCTTTGTTCTTCATTCGTGACATCACCGATCGAAATTCTAATTGCAGCGATCTGGAATCTGACGCGGTTCTGCAACTTCTTTGAGTACCACATGGCTTGACAACACCGTCGGTACCGTGTTGCGAGAACATCATCCAGATAGTTTCCTCGCTCAGCTTCTCTGGTGATTCGATTACTGTTGTCATTGAATATATGTCCATACATGAGCACATCATTGATGTTCACCCATCCACCTTCATTGCATGGAAGAATGTCATGGTGTCTACCTGTGCGACCGGCCACTTCTGCCTTTCCGGTTTGGTGTCTCAGAACTTTGTTGAGTCTTCTGCTGATTCCATCGACCGTGGCCCAATCATCAGTATTCTTTTGGATGAATGTCCCTTGGTCAAGGACAGGTGGAGCGGTGTATTTCCCCGCTCAGTCTTCTTCACCATTCCATTTCCTGATGTAATAGGTAGTACCATACTGTGGGATGATCTCAATGTTGCCTCGATCGTAACCGAATCTGTCGATATGCGTGTTTATGCACTTGTCTCGTATCGTCTTTCAGGTTTGCCACTTTCGGAAGCTTGGAGCCTGCTGATTGTGCCCTCATCAATGTTTCCTCAAGCGACCTGACATCTGGTGGTCCATTTCATCGACGATCGAACAAAGGTCCACGGGTCCATTGAATCTCGTGACGATCGTGGCATTGTCGAATGATCGCTTCATGGATTCGACGGCATTCTCGGATGACTACTCTTCGCTATTTTAACCTAGAAGCTGAGGATCAAAAAATATTTTTTACCATCCATGTTAGTGTAACTTTAGGATTTGCATTCTCAGGTGCTATGTTAGTCAAGACTGGTAGGAGCAGGAGCCATTCCACGAGGTCCATGTTAGTGGAACATTGTTGGGAAAGGAAGAACTAGCAGCTTCCATGTTAGTGGAAGGTTAAAGAAATGTATGATTTAATGTTAACATGGAATCTGTGAGGATTGTGGTTGATCTCGGTTCATGCCGGTGGACTTGTTAACAAGGAAGCTGTGCTGCTTGTTTTGGGTCAAAGCTTGCCAGCACCGGGAGAAGGAAAGAGAGAAAGAAAAGGAGAGAGAGAGAGAGAGAGAAAAAGATCACCCCAACAATCAGGAAGCTCAAGAGCGCTTCTCTGTCTTGCAAACAGCAATCCAAGAATTCGATTAGGTACTGTAGAGTAATCAAGCAATTCGCGTTTGGCCAGGGGTTGGAAAAAAAGATGGATTTGCTGGGATGTGCTGGATTTGTTCTTGTCTAGCTTCCATGTTAGCATTTGTTTCATGAAGTTTCTTGTGCACTGGGAGGGAGTTTTGCCCAGCTTCCATGTTAGTGTGCGTTTCTTGCATGAGCGGCATGTGTATGGGCTGGCTGAATTGATTTCTTGCCTTCCATGTTAGTGTGATTCTTGTAGATGGCCACCTTTGTGCACCTTCCATGTTAGTAGTTGGTGGCACCCCTGTCAGATCACTTACACTAACCTGGCAGGCAGAACATAGTGGTTTGAGGTGGTGTTAGTGCACACTTTTGAGTTCTCAGGTTCTACGTTAAAATAGGGAAGTGTAGTCCTTTAGTTGGAGGGGTCAGTGACTCTCCACCCAATTGTGCTGTTTCTTCAGGCAGGTCAATGTCCTCCATTTCGACATCATCGTCATCATCTTTTGCAGTCTTTGCTCTCTTCTTTTCTCTTTCGGTTTGGTCTCTTTGATGATCACCTCGTCATCATGTTCGATTTACAGCGAGCACCTGTACAACCTACTATGGAAACAGTTCGTTTCTATATACATCAAACATCTGCTAGCCCGCCTTAACATCCCCGATGCTTTGGAATCTATGTCCAAGAGACATGTGTAAGTCTGGCCTCATCGGTTTTCGTCCAGGTCCTACATGTGGTTTCGCCACGAGAGCGCGGGGATGGCCAGGTCCTGCAGGCGAGGGATCACGGAGGGAACAGATACTACCACAGACCGACAAGGGACATTAGCAAACAAAGTAATGTGCAGCAGTAGCAGTACAAGACCGACAAGACTCTACACCAACTTGTGTGCCCCAGCCTTGTGGAACTCATGACCACTCCACAGTGCGACAGTGCTTGGCCTGTCGGGTTTGATCAGTGGGACATAGTGCTGCCAGGCTAGCCTGGTTCTAAACATAGGGCACTCGTGATGTGTGAGCATGCAGACGCACAGACTAGCCCCCGACCAGCGGGAAAAACAGTTTGTGTGGCGGTTTTTGCAACATGGTTGAGCAAGAGCATGTTGGAGCTTAGGCAGTTATTGCATGTTTGATACAGCACGCCGCTGAGTTGGCTTGCGCAAAGCTTCTGGTTGTGCTGGGGCCGCATTCTGCAGTTGTTGAGGCTGGCACAAATCGTTGCATGTTGAGTACCTGACATTATGCTATGCGCACATACGTATGTGCGCCTTTGTATCCAACTGCTACAGTGTGCTTTTGGACTCCGACTGGTTAGCACTTTAAGTTTTGCTTAGACCAGGTTTGAAGAGTAGTGGCAGTGGTGTCAATTGTGTGTGGGTGAGAAATTTGTTCTTTTACAGTAAAGGTGTTTTCCGCTTGCTCGTTACCGTAGGCGTGCATTTGTATCATGGCATTACAGTTGCTGGCTGGGGAAGGGTGCGACTTTTCACAACTCCTGGTTTTCAATGGGCGCGATATACTGGAAATAGTGAAGAGCCGCAATGCCGGTTCAAGCCATGAATGGGCTCAAGACGCTTGCGTTGCTTTCTGACCTTCAGGTTCGACGGCAAGTGCTTCGGCATGTAAGATGGAAAGAGCTAGCACGTGCAGAAGGAAGCAGAGCTTAGGGCAGCCTCGCAAGTTTTCAAGCAACACACAAAGTCTCAAAAGGATTTTGAAGTCATCCAAAGTCTAAGTTTCCTTTGTCTGCAGGACCAGGTTTGCGATGGTCACATGCAACAAGGCGGGCAGAAGTTTTGCAAGGCTCTGTGAGGATCAGAGCGTTTCACATGTTTTCCTTCACAGTTGGGTTCCGGCGGTTTGGTTGCCTCAGGCCCAGTGGATGGTCGCTGCTTTGGCATGGTCACATGCTGAGGTCCAAAGAGGTATATAGATCATGTCAAATCCACTGTGGAGCCAGGTCCATTAAGCGCGTGCTAAGCGAATCGGCCGATAGGTTTCCAAGAACTAAATTGTACAAATCCAAGCAGCTTCAGGTGCATTGAAGTGTGCATCCCTTGAAAGCTGCCGTGTCAGGAACACAGCTTCCGGTGGGTGGCCCGGACGTGCCAACACCCGAGACAGATTATTGCTTATGGTTTCATTTGGTCCTTGGCTTTTCATTCAGCTGCAGCGCCCATTAGGTTTTGTGTGAATGGTTTGACGATGCAACCCGTGATGAGCATCCAGCCGCTTGGACACTTGAGGATGTATTTAATTGATGTTTAATTGTTTAGGTTGACAGAATTTGCGCCCTAGGTTCCACAATCACCATTGTGAAAGGAGTTGGCCTCAGTCTTTGCATGCGTGAGTATATATATATATTGGCATGGCATTGTCTTCAAGATCCTCGAGCCGTTGAATCCCTCTGGACGTTTCGTGGTTCTGATGACTTTGGACCTTTCGGTGTTTTGAGTTGATTTTTTGCATTTCAGGTGCTGCATTGGGCCAGGCCACATTGCCCGCAAGTGGGCAGGCAGAGCGATCGCCCACAAGACCTTCGCAAGTGGTGTCTCTCCCGGTGCCCTCAAGCTGTAAAAAACAAGATTTTAAAGAGCCGCATTTGTGTAATGTCCTGTCTTTGCGTTATTTCCTTGTTCAGTATTGAGTATTCCCTTTTCAGGCCGGGCCGGAGAGTTCTTTCAGCTTCACGAGGCTGCAAGTCCTTTGATGTTTCGCACGTGCAGATTGTCTTTTTTGACAAGTTTTGCGGGCGCTCTATGTTCGTCAAGATGTGTTCCTTTTGTTCGCCCGGCCCTGCCTGAATTCAGACTTGCGGGGCCAGACCAGCTGTGACTGTGATTACCTTAAAGTGGCTTGTGAATGGATCAGCCAGGAGGAACCATGGGGCTGTCTTCTATCAAAGGTCAGGCCCTCACACTCTTCTTTACCTTTGGGTCAATGTCGTAAAGAGAGAATTAGGCTATGCCAGCATGGACAATTTTGATTTTTTGTATTTACATACATAGGTGTAAGGGTGTCAGGACTGCCCCAGCGACGTCACATACTCAAACATATGAAAACAACTCTGCACCAGGGCAATGCAAGCTGCATTTCACACATTCGGCAGCTATTGCTGGAAGCCCCAGGAGTGCCCACAGTGAAAGCAAGCCAAACGAAGCATGAGAGCGTAATTTTGAAGTACGTGGTGTGAATGAACACAAGGTGTGAAAGACAGCCCTCAACAGTCAAATTCAGCCAAGGTCCTGTGAGAAAGTCCGTGCAATTGACATTGGCAGTGTGGATTGGCTCACCATGAGGGAGAACATGTGGAAGGCCTTAGCCGGACACTCAGCACTAAGTCGATCCAAGTTGTTTGTTACATATAACTTTTATGACTGAGTTACGACATAAAACATTTTGAACCTCGGCCCCCAGGTGTTTGCTCGAGAAGGGTCTGGTGAAGGTTTCCGTCAAGGTCTGCACAGGCACTGTGCAGTTTGATGATGTTTGATACAGGGGCCAATGTTGCATTTCAGAACAAAACAAGGCCACAGAGAGAGAGAGAGTGACCAAAAGAGACAGGGAGAGAACGAGAATCGGGAGATACGAGACTGTGGACCGAGGCAGTTGGACAAGATCGCCTTTGAAGCTGAGCATGGAGACTTCACGTTGGACATGGGGTCAGCAACTCAGCGCTGATGTCTTCCCTCAACTTCCCGTCATATGGTTGTTGCGGTTTCATGTTCATTGCTTGCTTGCAAACGGAGGGTAGGCCGTGAATCGTGGAGCTAGAAGCCTATACAACGAAAGCCAGCCGAATGCTAGGCTGAACGAACTGAGTTTTGGGGTGTGGGAGGGTGGTTGCGTGCCTAGATGATGCGAGTGATGCTAGACTAGTTAGGCTTGCCTTTTTTGCATCATCAACCAGGGTTGCACACAATGACATAGGCATGTAAAGGGCACAAAGGTAGAAAAACGCGCTTTTGTATACATGTAACACAACCTACTGCCAGACATATCCTCCACAAAGGTAGAAAAGTTTCGTTGATGCCGTGATGCCCATTAATTGTATAGCCAACTATTTCACTGCTAGCGCCATACCTCCTCACGGGCTGCTTTTCGAGAAACTAAATCTAGGTGATGGCCACCGCGTCCGCAGCGCGCCTGCAGCGCGTTCGCAGCGCGCTGGGCTCAACAAGACTATATTTATTGAAGGGCGCAGCCAGTATTTTTACAGTCCGTTTTTGCAAAGCAGTCATAGTTTGATGGCATTGGTAATGCGAGCGCGTTCGCAGCGCGCTGGGCTAAACAAGACACTATAGTAACGTATTGAAAGACACAGCCAATAATATTTTATTGTTTTTTAACAGTCCGTATTTGCAAAGCAATCATAGTTTGATGGCATTGGTGAATGCACGAGCGCGTCTGCAGCGCGTTCGCAGCGCGCTGGGCGAAACAAGACTATGAAGCACGCACACAGCCAGTAGTGTGTATAAAAGAGCAGTCATTTCAATTTGAATGGCATTGGTGAATGCACGAGCGCGTCCGCAGCGCGTCCGCAGCGCGCCCGCAGCGCGCCCGCAGCGCGTCCGCAGCACGTCCGCGCAGCGCGCTCGCAGCGCGCTAGCAGCGCGCTCGCAGCGCGCTGCGCGTTTTTGTATTCTTAAGGACACAGCCAGTATATTTACAGTTTGTGCATACAAAGCAATCATAATTTGCCGCATTGGTGAATGCACGAGCGCGTCCGCAGAGCGTTTGGGCACGAAAATAGCGTAAACATTGCTTTTCCTTATTCGATGCAAAAAGCGCAACCCAAAGCAGGCCACGCATAGAGCGCTGGAGCCAAGTCCACATAATAACTTTCCTTTTTCAAGGCTGGCCTCCAAGCGCTCCACCGACCCCCCCTCCTCTGCCTTCTTAACCCGGACCCGTTTAAGCTTTGAGCATCGAAATTGCGTAAACATGGCCCGCTTAAGCCCACCCGCGTCTTTTAGCATCGAAATTGCGTAAACATGGCCCGCTTAAGGACCAAATTGCGTAGCCATGGCCCGCTTAAGCCCAACCCCGCGTCTTTTAGCATCGAAATTGCGTAAACATGGGCCGCTTAAGGACCAGACCCGCGTCTTTTTGCGTCGAAATTGCATACACATGGCCCGCTTAAGAACCAAACCCGCGTCTTTTAGCATCGAAATTGCGTAAACATGGCCCGCTTAAGCCCAAACCCGCGTCTTTGAGCATCGAAATTGCGTAAACGTGGCCCGCTTAAGCCCAAACCCGCGTCTTTGAGCATCGAAATTGCGTAAACATGGCCCGCTTGAGCCCAAACCCGCGTCTTTTAGCATCGAAATTGCGTAAACATGGCCCGCTTAAGGACGTCTTTGAGCATCGAAATTGCGTAAACATAGCCCGCTCAAGGCCGAGACCCTTGCCCTTTTCGATGCAAATAGCGCAGCCCTAAGCAGGCCACGCGTAGAGCGCCTGACCCCCCGGGGGGTCTGCGCAGCAGGGCCGGAGCCAAGTCAACATAATAACTTTCCTCATTCGGGGCTGGCCTTCAAGCGCTCCACCGACCCCCCCCCCTTCTGCCTTCTTAACCCGGACCCGTTTAAGCTTTCCGTTTTCGGGCAAAAACCGCATCTTTGAGCATCGACATTGCGTAAACATGGCCCGCTTAAGCCCAAACCCGCGTCTTTTAGCATCGAAATTACGTAAACGTGGCCCGCTTAAGATCAAATTGCGTAGCCATGGCCCGCCTAATTAACCCCAAGCCCGCGTCTTTTAGCATCGAAATTGCGTAAACATGGCCCGCTTAAGGACCAAACCTGCGTCTTTTAGCATCGAAATTGCGTAAACATGGCCCGCTTAAGCCCAAACATGGCCCGCTTAAGCCCAAACCCGCGTCTTTGAGCATCGAAATTGCGTAAACATGGCCCGCTTAAGCCCAAACCCGCGTCTTTTAGCGTCGAAATTGCGTAAACATGGCCCGCTTAAGGACCAAACCCGCGTCTTTTAGCATCGAAATTGCGTAAACATGGCCCGCTTAAGGACCAAACCTGCGTCTTTGAGCATCGAAATTGCGTAAACGTGGCCCGCTTAAGGACCAAACCCGCGTCTTTGAGCATCGAAATTGCATAAACATGGCCCGCTTAAGCGCAAACCCGCGTCTTTTAGCATCGAAATTGCGTAAACATGGCCCGCTTATAAGGACCACACCCGCGTCTTGACTAGATTTAAGAATCTTACAGTAACAATCCTTGCCAGCACAGTGCTCAGCAAAAAATATTACTTTCTTTTGCAATATTTGTACGATCCCTGCCAGCACAGCCAAAACTTGACTACTTTCGAAAAGAATACTCAATGCCTTCAGCCAAAACTTGACTAGCTTCAAAAACCTTACTTTGTCACAATCCCTGCCGGCACAGAGCTCTTCAGCCAAAACTTACTAGTTTAAGAAGCTTTCAACGAGGCCAGGAGCACTGTGCTGTCAGGGATTGTAACAAGTTGCAATCCCTGACAGCACAGTGCTCCTGGCCTCGTTGATCATCGCAAAGGAACCGTTTGTACTTAGTACATATTTCATGGTGTTTTGTAAGCTGATTTGTTGCTCGACTCGTCAACTTATCGTAAAGGGCTTTGTTGAACTTTCATTTTGTCTGCAAGTTCACTGCAACTTCACTCGTGGCTTCACTCGTGGACGTACCCGTGAAAACACTTTTGGTTCACTCATACTTTTACCCGTTGGTGAATTTTGTTCAAAATCATGTCTAGTCACTTTTGAGTCATTTACTTTTATTTGAGTAATTCCTAATAAGTTTAAATCCTATTTGTGACAACTTTATACTTAAACATGATTCACTATGATCAAAACAATTTTAAACATGCAAAAAAATGACTAGCCAGAGTGCCCTGGAAGGGTGCCCATCTCAACCCTCAACTTTGATTTGGTGAAAACATGGCCCGCTTAAGGACCAAACCCGCGTCTTTGAGCATCGAAATTGCATAAGCATGACCCGCTTAAGCCCCGCGTCTTTGAGCGTCGGAATTGCGTAAACATGGCCCGCTTAAGGACCAAACCCGCGTCTTTTAGCATCGAAATTGCGTAAACATGGCCCGCTTAAGCCCAAACATGGCCCGTTTAAGCGCAAAGCCGCGTCTTTGAGCATCGAAATTGCGTAAGGATGGCCCGCTTAAGCACAATGTCGAGTCTTTGTAGACATGGTCCGCTTGAGGCCCAAACCTGCGTCTTTGAGCACCGAAATTGCGTAAACATGGCCCGCTTAAGCCCAAAACCCCGTCTTTGCGCATGAAAAGTGCGGCCCGCTTTGACCAGCAAAAGATAGCGCAAACAAAGTTCAACATCAAAACTAGTTAAATATCAAGGGGTCAAATGCTCATGATGTTGTTTTTCAACATGGCCCGTGGCGCGGCGTGCTTGGAGTGGGAGAGTTGGATGTGTCATGCTTTCCTTGACAGGATTGTGCCAATGTAAAGGTTGAAAGGTTCCCTGATTTAGACTCAATGACATCTGACAAAATTTTACATTTCTACCTTTGCGCCTGCGTTCTGCGTGCAACCCTGTCAACTGACCAAGTGAGAGGTTGAGATAACCCCGCGCTCAGCAGTTTAGTATTGGCATGCACCTTAACACATCTTAACACTACTAATGCATTCCTGCCCCAGAAAACGATAAGAGTAAACCTAGCTTTCAAGTCTTTCAAGTCTCACTTTCCATTCCCTATCCGAACTGGGCTGTTTGGTCCATATGCTGCCAGTACATGAGCCACGAAAATGGCAATCTGCAGAGACGTCAGGAACGATAACAAAGCGATAACGAAAACGATAAGGAAATGTAGCAAAAACAACCTGGTGGACAAGTGCCCGTTTGACTGTTTTCATTAGACCTTTTCAAGGGCATAAGTGTGCGTCTTGTTTAGCTCTTTATGTCTGATCTTTGCTGCCGCCATGTCTTTACCACCAAAGGCCATGCATGGAAACCTGCTAATTTGACAGTTCTTGTGTGCAAGGAGCCCAACACCTGAGAAAACAATGAGTAAAATACGATAACATGATTTCCAGGTATTGCAAAAGACATGTTTTTCAATACCCCAAGTAAAACGCACTGGCAATGTTTTGATTACGCCGCTTTCCCCCAGCAGGCTCTAGGTTCATCCCCCTATAACCCACCTGACTATACTGTATAAAAAAGCACAACGTGGCTCTCCCACAGCAGCCTTTGGGCTCATCCCGAACCAAACAGCCAAGTGAAAAACACAACTCTTTGCAATGTTTGTCCACTTCGCTTTCCCCCAGCAGGCTCTGGGCTCACCCCCCTCACACACTTATAGAAATGCGTACCCATGTGAACGCGGTGCCACACGCCAGCCTAAGAAACCAAATCCTGAAAAACAAGTTAAAGGCCAGAAGTCAAACTCCACGACGCGACGATTCGACAGGATGACGGCGTACCGTGCGTGATTGCAGATGCATTAGCACTTTACCAAAGGTTTTAAGACTTGCAGGCACGCCGAGTTGATCACACTCGGTATCCCGTCATTGTGGTAGCTTCGTTGAGTGCGGTCCCACAATCACGCCGCACTCCCCTGCTGAACAAAGGAAAGCTCAAAAGAACAATCCGCATGGATCTCTGTGACTACAAGGGGCACACACACTTAGAGAGTTG